TAAGTCTATTTTTAAAAACACTTTGGCCTCACTCTCAGCATGCATACTAAAGAAAAAATGGTGTCCCGCAGATCTTATCTCCTAATGCTCTTTTCTGGTACGTCCTCAGTCAAAGCTACCACCCCCATTCCAAGCCCTCTCACATCTCACTCTGACAAGTCCCCAACCTGGCAATATTCCCAAGCCCACAGACTTGCAGCCTCCACTCTGTTCTCCGCTGAGAAGCCACAGCAATGCTTCCAGAACAAAATCTTGAGTAGGTATCTCCTGTTCAAAGTCCTTCAGTGGCTTTAGCGTGGTTGTGGTTGGAGAAGGGGTTATCTAACCCACAACATTCAGGTTGCAGTTGTCACCCTTGGCGTAGGTAAGACAGAGGCACATAAACAGATAGGAATGAGACAATACTTTTGTGTCCTTAGTAATTAAGAATAAAATTCACTGTTTGAATAAAGCCTCCTGCGTTTTTTTTGTTATAAATGAAATAGTACCAGTATTGTTTGAGCATCATGCAGTTTTGACAAGATCGCTTGGTCTCTTTTCTCATCTAAGGGTAGCTGGAGTTACGTTTTTCTCTACACTCAACGTTCTCACCCCTGTAGGACTGGCTCCTTTAAACAGAGATTCACTACACACTACTGCAAATAAATTTTATGTCTGAATATGATAAGACAATGATTACTAAGTGTTTGTTGAGTCCACCGTGGAGTTCAGATAATAACACTTAACCATAAAGTATGCTTCTTGCCCCTCTGACTATCAATCATACATAGGCAATCTGCCATGGAAACTCAGGATGAAGATTTATCAGCAAGAAGATAGGAAAGCAGAGAGTAAAGGCATATTTCTCTCTGCCCACCATCCACCCCCAGCTCCTAGAGGCTGGCCTTGTTGCACACTCAGATGTTTTGAAAGGACAGGCGGCATTGCACATGGTAATGTCCTGGTAAATGGGGAACAATTGGTTCTCAGCAGAAATAAACAAACCAGTCTTGACATGTAGTTTTGATAGTTTTGGTAGCATCAGCATTCCCTTGCTGGCTAATTTAAAGCCTTCATTCTGACCCCAGTGCTGGATAAAGATGTGCATGGCTTGCTTGGGCTGTTGATAGGGGCCCACACCCTGGTCACAGGTCTGTGAATGTTTCCGTGTACGTCAAAGATGAGTGGCGCTATATTGCAAGAGGTGTTATATTTTGGACAAAACAATATTTTCCAGCATTTGTGATCAGGTATTTTTGAGAGTGCATTACAGACAGCTACTCCTAGGAAAGTGTTATGTGAAATGAAGGAAGTTAGCAGTGTCGGAAGGCAGGGGAATTGAAAGAGGAGAGCTTGATTATAAAGACCAAGAGGCACTGTTTTGTTCTTTGATTTTGTTCACAATACTCTGCATTGTGCGGCTGAGTGGGTGCTGGTGGCCTGGTCAGCAGACTTTCCATTGTCCCCGGTACCATTCAGTCAACTGCCATGTTGCTGAGTGAGGCAGCCGGCCAGGCTGTTGGGCTGTGTGAGCGCGCTGTGGAGTGCTGGCCTCAGTGCGTTCTTTGTGGAGCTGAGAACGCAGGGTATTTGTCCAACTCTCTTGACGAACAAGTGTCCAGACCTACACAATCAGTGTCAGCACTGTCTTTCTTCTGGTTATGGCCTTCAAATCCCAGATTACCTGCAGTTCTTCGATCTTCACACTCCATGTATTAAGGTTTTCAAATGATATGAGTAAAAGATCCCATGCCAATCCCCACCCCCACAGAGAACAAAAGAAAATACATTAATCTAAAGGAGTATGAAGCAAATAATTTAATAATAATAAAAATAATTCTTATAGTGCACTTAAAAATCTAAAAGGGCTTTGATACAAAACTTGTTGAATGTAACTAAATGGCTTTTTGAAACTGAGCTTTGGTTTAAGATAATATTTAGACTTTTTACTCACGGTCTTTACATACCAACCCACATACCATTTTTTTACTTAGACAAACTGGCTATACAAAACACTTACAAAATAAATTCTAAAAGACTTTTTGGTCAGTGCAATTTCAAATACAAAAAGTAGAGGCTGTTTATTTCCTTTGTGTAATCAAGAGTCCCCATGCCCAAATAGTGTATGGATTATTATGTTTAAAACGTCACATGATTTTTATCGCTTAATCCACCAGATACAACTTCTGCCTGTTCAAGGTTTCTACACTGAGCCACAATACAGGAATCTCTAGGTATTAACGATGTAGTTATATTACCTATATGTAGTATTAACTATAGTAGGTAAATGTAAGATAGTGAGGACCACAGACCCCGGAGTGAGAGCTGATCAAGCGCACTGGAAACAGAAGGAATGAATGATCTTCCCCCTCGGCATCCCCTCTTCTCCCTGCTCCTTTCTCCCGACAACCCTCACCCTCACCGCTGGTTCTGCCCGGCCCAGTGAAGCCTCTGCACCCTCCCACTTGTAATTTGTCGCTAATCAGCTGTCACTGTCATCGCCGTGATGAGGGGTTCATCTCTGGCGGAGGGTAATGGCCTTAAAAGTCACAGAGTCAATGTCAATGGGATCGCTCCAATTCAATCACTGAGCTGAATGAGGGATGGCACCTGCTGACATTAGCACTCATTTTGAGCTCAAGCATCTGGGCCCCAGTAAATAACCATCAGTGGGTGGGTCTGGGGGACAGGTCATTAGCCCCACGAAAAATAAATATCGCTTCCCTTGATGGCTGCGAGTAATTTAGCTCAGACGAGGAAATTTCACCCTAGATTAAGTATGATGAGCCAATATCAGTCAGAGGAGGCCAAACAGTGAGAGCCTGATGAGATAGAGGGAAATTTATATTCAGCTGGCTGCATGTGAGATGAGCTCAAAGCAACGGTGTACCCTTCCGACCCATCTTCATGTGCACACTCAATGGTGGCCTTATCATTGCTCGCCTCTTCCTAGTTAATACTTTTTGGGGGATGGGTAGTTGAAGTGGAGATTGGAGGCAGGGTTCAAATTTCCTCCAGTCTGCCTTTCTGATTTTATTCTGTAGCATAGAAAGTCCTGGCCTGGCCCTTTCACAGCTTTTGGCTAGTAGAAGGGATTTGCCATAGCTTCAGGCTTTCACATGCAGACCACCCCTCTTGAGAGAGCAGACCCAGCTCTAATTGTGTTGAAGGGCTTGGGGGCTCCTCTCTGGCTTGGAAATGGCTTGGGAGAGGCAGGAAAGTTGATCCTGGTCCCTCCATTGTTTTGCATTGTGAGGAAAAAGGAACTACTCCCTTTGATTCACAAGAAAATCTTTTTATTTGTCCCACTGATATAATCCATCAAACTCAGCAGGCTTATTAATAGAAGTCTTTATTAGGAACAGTTTGGCTCACTTTAAAATCATATTTTATATCCGTAGGGCTCTGCCCTCGGCCCACCCTCTCCCTCATTGAGCCAGACATGTCTTAAAATGGGACAGACCAGCGTCCCAAGTAGTCTCTTAAAATAGATATCAAAATGAATTTATTTTTCTTGTTGTCTCCTTTGATAACAGGTCTGGGAAGTGGTTCTAATAGAAAATATATCAGCTATTAAAATGTTCTCTAAGCAATATATGCACATGTGACAATGAGAGCCCAAAGTTTAACAGTGGCTGTATAAAGGAAGGTTTTGATACCCAAACTGTGTATCTGAATTTTTTGATGGTGGGACACATTTTATTACAGAATGCTGGAAATGGGCAGGGGAGGTGGGGCTCAGTGGTGAGGAGTATTTATTGCTCTTGCAGAGGACTCTGATTTAGTTCTTAGCCACCTATAACATCAGTTCCAGGGAGTCAGAAGCTCTCTTCTGAACTCCAAGGCCAGTAGGCATAGACATAGTGTACATACATACATGCAGGAAAAACGCTCAGACACATAAAATAAAAATAAACAAATCTTTAAAGAATACATACCTGAGGAAAAAAGAGGTGTCTTGGGCAAAGGTACGGATTGCAGGTGGATCACATGGGACATAGGACCAGTCAAGATCTCAGAAAACTCTTAGGTTTATAAGAGTTCAACAAGCACTTCCTGGATGAATTATAGACCTGCTGTAATCATAAAACGCACCACAGACATGAGCCTGTGAGGGCTCAGTTATATCAGAGCAATGGTCACAATTGTAAGTCTAGAAATATTTGGATAATTATTTATTCTTGACTATAGTGGTCACTTAGTTTTAGATAAATGAATGATAAACAAGTGTCTGCTTTAAGGCTCCTCTTTGAAACATCAAATTCCAGAGGGAGAGGACTGGATCCGAGACTGCTACATTCTTGGAGCCTAACTCAGGGGATGTCATACAAGAGTTAGTCAAGGGTTTACAAATAAGTGAGTAAGTAACCCAATGTTTGGTGTTACTGGGGACCACACCTTGTGCGTGCCGAGCAGGTGCTCCTCCACTGAGCTACGTCTTCAGTCCACAAGCAAAACCTTGTGTGGGGCCTCATCTGTCAGGTGCTGTTGTGATTTGATGTGAGGACTCGGTCCAAACTGTAGAGCTGGTTGTGTGTGTGTGTGTGTGTGTGTGTGTGTGTGTGTGTGTGTGTACTGATTACATCGCAAGCGCTTTAACTTAGTTAATGGGTTAATCCACTCATGGGCTCCTAATTTGGTGACATAATTTGGACATTCTGGAAGGTAGGATGTGGAGCCTAGTTGGAGGGAAGGTTTCTGGGAGATAGCTTGGAAGGGACTGTGTTGTCCCTGGCCTCCTCCCCTCTTTCCTCTTCCTCATCTTCTTTCCTGGATGTTAGGAAGTAAGCCTCTTTCTCTGTCATCCACTCTCTGCCTCATAAACAACCCCCAGTGACGGAGCCAGATGAACTGGCGCTGAAACCTCTTAAAACCATGATCCAAAACAAATCTTTCTTTGTAAGTTTTTTATATGTCAGTTGTAGTGTTAGAGCAGTGAGCGGGTAACACTGGCACCTGGTGAACTCTAGTGGGCTCATTTAGCCTTGTGACATTGAGAGACAATGTTATTATCTACACAGGTCACTCAAGAGCCACTGAGTCACACCAAAAAAGACAAGAACAAAATAAAACAACAAAAACCGCCTAATACATAAGTAAGTTACTCTTTTGTACTATGCCTTGTTTATAGCTAACTATGGGTCATAGATTGGACATGCCTGGGAAGAGTGTGGTGTGTACAAAGCAGAGCTTATTACTCCATATATATAAAAAAGTGGAAGAAGAAAGACAGCGTGTGCCTTACGTCTTCAGTTTCTGTGATATAATCTGATGTTGCAGAAGGAATTAAGGAAGGGAGTGCCATTGCACAATAAAGGCTCTCCGAGAATTGCTGCAGGAAAGAAAACATGACCCTTGGTGGATGGGAATGTGAATACAGTGGTTTTGTGTTTGATTCTTCAGAAGTGTTCACTCCCACCCAGGAGGAAAAGAAGGAAAAAGCAGTTGGGCGAAAGACAAGAGTGAAAGTTGAAAGCAAAAGTAGACTTAAATATATCTGTCTACATGGTAAGCATAAGTATATGATACATAAAGCAAGGGTACCAACTGGAAAGGGACAAAAGTCCCCAAAGTGCATGGAGGCGCTGTCTTCCAAAGGCCCAGGAACAAGTGTTGTCGTGTATTATTCTCTTTCACCCAACAGTAATAAAGGACTGTTCCATTAGCACGTGTGAGATTCTGTTTAACTCCCACAGTAATAATGGACTATTCCATCAGCACACGTGAGATTCTGTTTAACCCCCCACAGTAATAATGGACTATTCCATCAGCACACGTGAGATTCTGTTTAACCCCCACAGTAATAATGGACTATTCCATCAGCACATGTGAGATTCTGTTTAACCCCCACAGTAATAATGGACTATTCCATCAGCACATGTGAGATTCTGTTTAACCCCCACAGTAATAACGGACTATTCCATCAGCACATGTGAGATTCTGTTTAATCCCCCCCACAGTAATAATGGACTATTCCATCAGCACGTGTGAGATTCTGTTTAACCCCCACAGTAATAACGGACTATTCCATTAACACATTCCAGAAACTCAAGGCGCAGGGTAGTTCCGTCAGTGGTTTGTTCACTCAGTAAAATGCTGAGCCAGGGTTTGGACCCATCATCTCCTTTTATCATTAAGAAATAATATGCCTTGTCTTTGTAGTTTGAAAATAGGAGAATGAAATCAAACCACTAAAATGTTTGGGATTTTTTTTTTGTAGCAATTATTACCAAGAGGGCTTCTTTTTAACCTAGTCTGGAGTTTGGCAAATGACCCTTTAATTTTTGATCATTTGTCACTTGGCTTAACTAGTTGTTTGAGGATGTTAGTAGAAGATGAACATTCCATTCCATTGAGATTTGGGATATTTTGCTCATTAAATAGCTCATGTTTTACTTCTTTTCTTTTGTCACAGATAGTTGAAAATTATTGACTTTGGAAAGTGGGAAATAAGCACTACATATTCACCATTAACATTTGTAAGTGTGGCTGCATGCGCACATTGATACACACCACAGACACTGGCTCTTTGTCCTTCACTTACTTTTATAAGGTAAGGTCATTGATTTTTTTGTTGTCTTGTTTTGTTTTAAGGAGTCTTTTTCTTTTTCATTTTTATTCTTCTCTCACACATTATATCCAGACCTCAGTTTCCTCTCCCTCCACTCCTTCCAGCCCCTCCTTCACCTCCCCTCCCCCCTAGATCCACTCCCTCTATTTCCCTTCAGAAAAGAACAGGCCTCCCAAGGTATCAACCAAAATTCAGCATAAGTTACAAAAAGACTAGGCACATTCCTTCATTTCAAGGCTGGATGAGGTAACCCAGTAGGAGAAAAGGGTCCCAAGAGCAGGCAAAAGAATTAGAGATACCTCCCACTGCTACTGTTAGGTGTCCTACCCCAAGCTAAACAACTACAGCAGGTATGCTGAAGACCTAGTGCAGACCCATGCAGGCTCCATGGTTGCCACTTCAGTCTCTGTGAGCCCCTATGAGCCCTGCTTAGCTGATTCTGTGGGCCATGTTCTTGTGGGGCCCTAGACCCCTCTAGCTCCTATAATCTTTACTCCCCTTCTTCCTTGGGGTTTCCTGAGCTCTGCCTAATGTTTGGTGTGGGTCTCTGCATTTGCTCCCATCAGTTACTAGATGAAGCCTCTCTGATAACGATTGGGCTAGGCTCCAATCTATGACTATATCAGAATATCATTAGGAATCATTTCATTGATTTTTTTTGTGGTGATATATTGTGTACCCTTAATGAAATTTGCCTGAAGATTAGAGAACAGAACAAGTCACTAGACTAAACACAGATGCCAGGCAGTGGTGGCACATACCTTTAATCTTAGTCATTAATCCCAGCACTAGGAAGGTAGTGATGGCATGAGGAGACAGGAACTGAGGCTTTTCAGGCTGAGGAGTCCTAGAGGTAAGACGTGGCAATGGCTTGTTCCTTTGTCTCTCTGATCTTTCAGCATTTACCCCAGTATCAGGCTCTGGGTTGTGGTGATATTTTATTTGTGCTGAAATGTGGTATTTTATTTGTATGTTAATAAAAAATTTGCCTGGAGATCAGAGGTCACACAGTGAGTCATAAGCAGAAGTCAGGCAGTGGTAGCACATGCCCTTAATCTGATCACAGGGCAGGCAGAGTCTCTGTGTGGTCAAGGACACAGCTAAGCATGGTGACACACACCTTTAATCCCAGTACCAACCATAGAGACCTGGAGGTCTGTATAGACAGGTAGTGATGAGGAAGTGATGTGGTTGAGCTTAGAGCCAATAAAAAGACAGAACAGGAAGGCAATAAAAGCTCAGGTTAGACAGGAAGAAGCTCTCTTAGGAAGCTATGGTGTGATGGTAAGTTAAGGCTGACTAGTGGCTCTTCGCTACTTCTCTGATCTCTTCGGCTATTACCCTGTATTTGGCTCTGTGTTTCTTATTTAATAAGACTGTTTAGAAATTCGTCTACACTGGGTTTTTTTTTTATTATAAGACCATCTTAGGATTTGTGTTACAGTTGTTTTTGGTTCTCTCACAGTAAGACTAAGTCACAATAAAACTAGGCACAAATCCTAATAGCAAGACTGGATGAGACAATCCAATATAACCCACTTTGTTGGTTCTATCTGGGCTGTCCAGCCTCTGGTTCCTGGCCAGTGTCAGGCATGGGCTTCCTCTCCTGGCATGGGCCACAAGTTGGACCAATCACTGGTTGGCCATTCCCATGGGTTCTATGCCACCATTACCCCAGCACATCTTGCAGGCAGGACAAATTGTAGGTTGAAGGTTTTGTGGTTGGGTTGGTGTCTCAATTTCACCACCAGAAGTCTGGTAATATTTGATACCTTATTTAGTGGCAGTGTTGCTGTGATGTGGTGATGTGACAGATAGGACCTAGGTCAGTCTGGTGGCAGAAGTAAACCATCAGAATTATGAACTTCAGTAGTTGAGGCTTTCATAGTAGCAAGTTTGTTTTCTAAAGTTTTGTCTAAAGTGCTGAGAATAAATGATGGTTGAGTTCCCAGCCCTGAACAAGGCATCTATACCAACCCAGCTAAAGCTCCGGGAATATCATGAAAGAGGCTGTGAAATGAATATAAGAGCTGGAAGATGGGAAGAAGGACTGTGAAATACCAATACAACTTTGTATTGTATTGATTGTAGATGTGGAAATACACAATCCTGTGCATGGCATAGCCTTAACAATCAACCACAGAAGCTACTGTTACCTGTACTGGGCATACACTTGGCAGTCTGTCAACAGATAGCCATGGATGGGGAACTGAGGAATATGGAAGTCCATCTCAAAGAAAAGCTGATGTTTTGAATTTTATTTTATTTTTTTAAACTCTTACATTCCTCTTTGATTTGGAAGTCATTTGCGTTGTCCCTCATACTTGGTAGTAGCTAGTGTGTGTTACGATTTGGTGCCTCTCTACAGTATTTGTACATAAGGAGCTAACAACCAAACAGTTGACAGAGTCGTCATGAAAATGTTGACGATGGATAAATTGTCATTACATGGGTTTTGTGTCCTTCTATCAGGTGACATTCTGAACTCCTCTAGTGCATAATGCTGTCTGTCATCTAGAAGACAGATTAAAGACAGGCATTCCCAGTTAATCCCAGTGATGCCCTGTGCCTCCTAAGTGCATGCTGACTTGCCGTGTGTGACTGGAACTGACGCTTCCTTATCAAGTTGCTTTGGGCACCCGCTTATGCCCAAGAGAGCAAATAGAAAAACAGAATTCTCGTGAAAGTTCAACAGAGTCTGTCTACTCCTGGAATAATAATACTTTCATGTCATCTCATTCTTTTTTTAAAATTTTCACTTTAAAAGCAATTTAGTGCTCTGATAGGAAGACGGAGACTTGAAGTGATCAGGAGAAAACAAACAACAACCACCAGACAGCTGCTATCAGTGGAAAGACTCGTAAGAATTTGCACAAACACTGTAGGAGGAAATACAAGTTTTTCTGATGCTCAGTGGGTAAAGCGCTAAGTCTGCTGACCTGAGTTTCATCCCTGGGACCCAAAGGGTAGGAGAGGAGCAATTCCTGCAACTGTTCTCTGATCTCCATACATGCACCAAAGTGTGCACACCTACTCTCCCACAGCACCACACACATGTGCACACACACAGAGAAGCGAAATAAATGTGGTAAAGATGTTGTGGGAGGAGATTGAGGACATAAACTCCACCCCAGTTTAATCAATTGTATAATCAGGGATTTATTTTTTCTAGGAGAGGGTAGGAAACCGAGTTTTCATGCATCCGAAGAGTTTTGCGTTATTTTTGAAACTTCATTCTGTTCCATTTTTTCCCAAACTTTATTCTGTTCTATTTTGAATTTTATGTCAATGGGGAAACCAAACAATTCAGATTTATATCACCATGCTGCTGAGAACAAGGCTGATGCATCGCGTGCTGGTGAGAAGCCAGTGCGTTTCGTCTCTTCTTGTAGACAGCCACACACAGGAGGTGAGCATCAGCTAGACAACAGCTGCTCTTCAGCGCCTCACACAGTGTCTTTGCTCTCAGTGTTTCCCATTGAAGGAGGGTTTCTTTTTCTTACAGGATTCTCTTCTTTACACGACCTGAGATGGGGAGCACCCTGGCTGGACATCTTTGGTAAGTCAGAGTTCACTATGCTGGATCTGGGAGAGGCTTCCCCAGTGGCCTCACCATTGAAGAGTTGGCATCTGAGTTCTGCACAGTTTTCTCACCCACATCTTTCACTCCAACAATTTAAATTCAACCAGACTTAGTTGAGCATCTGTATCTTTTGTTATTGTTGTTTTACAATTTACAAGGCAATGCACATAGCCCTGGTCAAAAGCGTTTCTGTATAGTTTAAAAGTAACTTTTATCTATATTTTGCTACATAATTTTGGTAGCATAAGTCAGTATAGATGTAAGATATGACTTGTGCGTAGAAGAACAGATTACAATCAAACGCATCAGTGGCTTCTTCCTGTGTAGAGATTTAAAAAAGGATAAAGTATGTTTCAAATTTGACACCTACTTAAATAGATGCATGGTTTTACTTTCAGACATTTTGAAAATTTTATCTATTGTGATTCTTTTTAATTTTAAAATCCCCAGATACTTTGTGTTAATAGTGGAGATAACCTTTTAAATCATTGAATACATTTTAAGCTTTTCCATTTTCAATTTCATTTTATCCTTATTAATTTGATAATTTGCTGAGTTCCTTTTCTGTCCATTGATTTGGTTACAATTGCTACATGGCAAAAGAGAAAAATGGAATAACATTATATTAGATTTTGAAGGAAATCTAAGGATAATCTAATCTAACCCTTTATTTTAAAAATGAAACTGAGGCCAAGGTTAAGTGACTCATCTTGGTTCACACTGCTACTTAGAGACAGATATTCTGACACTAAATCAATCACACTTTCTAACAAATCATACTGTTCACATCCAGCACGAGCCTTTCAAGCCTCGTGCTGAGACGATCCATGGTTTTCAGCGAGAACTACCCAGTCCGACTCCAAGTGTCGCGTGAATGCTCTGCTCACAGTCGTGGTGTTTCATTTCCTCCTTTTTCTTGTGTGTGTGTGTGTGTGTGTGTGTGTGTGTGTGTGTGTGTTGTGCAGAGGAGGAGGACAGTGGATGACTTCCTATATTGTCCTTATTGCCAGGTCTGTAGGCTGATTGGCAGTAAGCTGCTGGGATCCCCTTGTCTTTGCCCCTGATACCTGGTGTTGGGCACTGGAGTCACACTCAACGTTTTATGTGGATGCTGGGAACTCAAACTCTAGTCCTCATGCCTCCCCAGCTTGCATTCTTACACTGAGCCATCTCCCCATCCCTTGTTACCTACCTGTTAGCTATTCATCTATGGTAGCCAGCCTGCTCAGTGCCTTTCATTTTTGCTTGCCAGTATGTATTTCACACACTGATTTTTTAAATTAATCTTGATTCCATACTGTAAGAATAACAGTCCTGAGTATTTGAATAATAAAATCAACTCATTCCTGTGATAAAGAAAGTAGACATATGAAACAGAGGTTGGAGTTTTAGC